AGCGCGCATGCTCGCACGACAGTCAGCTGGCCGGCGCGCATGCTCACGCAGGAAAACGGAAGACCAGCTCTTCCAGTTTAGGGCACTGCCGCATGCAAAAACGCCAGCTAATCATTGCGCGTCAGAAACCCGGAAGAGGAACATGGCTCCATGTGCTACTTCGGGCACGCGTGCCATAGATTCGCCATTATGGTTATTCTATGCTATTCTATATTCCATGTTCTATATTCTATTCTAAATTCGAATTGTGGTCATAAGTCAAGGACTGCTCTGTGTTTCTAACAGATCGAAGCAGCGCCTGTGTCGTGCCTGGTGATGGCGTGCTCAGCCCTCAGCTTTTAAGAGCATCACCTAGCTGTGCTGCCTTTGAACCTTGCCTCGGGCCCTGTCGTGGGAATCGACTCTGAAAGACCCATCACGCAGACCCCTAAGTCAAGTTTATCTTTTTCATGATTTTTCATGAAAAGTCAAGACATTCAGCCGAGGCAGCTTGGGTGGTTTTCAGGGGTCTTGTCCGGATGGGTGAGTAGACAGAAACATGGAATGAAGGCTTAAAGGTTTCGGAGAGAGCTGCAAAATAGCACTTTAATAAGTCTAGCAATAGAGCCTTGGTAGTACAGTGGTTTAATGCACCCTGTTATTAACACAGCTGCCTGCAATTTCTGCAGGTTCAAATCTCTCCAAGGCTCAAGGTTGACTCAGCCTTCCATCCTTTCTAAGGTAGGTTAAATGAGGACCCGGATTGTGGGGGCAATAAGCTGACTTTGTATAAATATACAAAAGTATGAAGGCTACTGCTTAACGCATTGTAAGCCGCCCTGAGTCTCCGGAGAAGGGCGGCATATAAATCAAATTTTAAAAAAATAATAATAAATCCCTCGTCTAAAACAGATGTGCCCCCAAATGCTCATCAGCTACCCTATAAGGATGATGGTTGAATAGGCTGTTGAACCCGAATGGGAAAAGGGGCCCTGTCAGTCTCCCAGGAATTTGAAACATAGAATCCTAGGACGGGAAGGGTCCTCAAAGGCCCTCTAGTCCAACCCCGTGCAACAAGCAGGACAGATCCTATACAGGTATTCCTTGCCTTACGACCACGGTTGCGCCCCAGTTTTCTGTTGCTAAGGGAGCTAGTGGTTACGGGAATTTCACCTCCGCTTTACGACCTTGCTTGCCAAAGTTGTGAAATGAATCCCTGCAATTGTCAAGTTAGTAACAAGTTAGCAACCGACTCGTATTTATGACGGTTGTAGCATCCCGGGATCCTGCAATTAAGTGAATCAGGCTTCCTTTTTTTTTTTTTTTTGCCAAACGGGATCACAGGATCCTGGGATGCTACGACTGTCATAAATCTGAGTCGGTTGCCAAGTGTCCGAATTTTGATCACGGGGACGCCGCAACGGTCGTAAGTGTGAAAAACAGCCCTAAGTCACTGTTTTTCAGTCCCGTTGTAACTTTGAACGGTCAATATCTATGGGGATTCTCCGTCAGCCAGGTCATGGTTGTCCCAAAGGTGCTTTTTTCAAGAGGCAACTGGGCTTTCAGATCTTTTTGAATGGTCACTAAATGAACTGTTGTAAGTCGAGGACTACCTGTACCATTTCAGACCCGTGGCTGTCCGATCTCTACACCCACCGTACAACATCTGGTGGCAAGTCGTTCCACTGGTTAACTGTTCTCACTGTCGGATGGGCTTGGATGCCATTTCAAGGCAACTGGACTTTCTTCTTTGAAGACATTTCGCTTCTCCTCCGAGGAGCTTCTTCAGCTCTGACTGGATGGTGGGGAACGGAAGGATTGATACTCCTTGCAGACAGCGGGTCATTTGCATCCTTTTAGAGGGTCGTTGAGGCCACTGGGAGGTTTATCTGTGTCCTCAGGGACACCTGAGTGGTGCAAATGGATGTGGAGCCTCCTTGGAACTGCTGAAAGGACACAGGTAAACCTCCAAGTGGTCTCACTATCCAGTCAGAGCCGAAGAAGCTTCTCGGATGAGAAGCAAAACCTCCTCAGGAAAAAAAACCCCAGAAAGTCCAGTTGCCTCTTAAAAAAATACCCTTTGTGACTCCAAGTGGCCTCAACGATCCTCTGAAAAGAAATGCAAAGGAGTATCAATCCTTCCCTTCCCCACCATTCAGTCAGAGCCGAAGAAGCTTCTCGGATGAGAAGCGAAACCTCCTCAAAAGAAAAAAACCCAGAGAGTCCAGTTACCTCTTGAAAAAAAAAACCTTTTGGGGACTCCAAGTGGCCTCAATGACCCTCTAAAAAGGATGCAAATGACCAGCTGTCAGCAAGGATTATATATATATATATATAAATCCTTCCCTTCCCCACCACCATCCAGTCAGAGCCGAAGAAGCTTCTCGGATGAGAAGTGAAACCTCCTCAAAGAAAAAAACTACAAAGTCCAGTTACCTCTTGAAAAAAAAAAGCACCTTTTGGGACTCCACGTGGCCTCAACGACCCTCTAAAAAGGATGCAAATGACCAGCTGCCTGCAAAGAGCATCAATCCTTCCCTTCCCCACCATTCAGTCAGAGCCGAAGAAGCTTCTCGGATGAGAAGCGAAACCTCCTCAAAAAAACCCGTAGAGAGTCCAGTTGCCTCTTGACAACCACAGAGTCTCCATTCGTTCGGAAGCTCGTTTTTGTTCACCGATGACAGCAGGTGATGGATGGGCCCTTCCGATTTGGGAAGAAACGTTGACACTCGGTTGGGGGAATGCCCCACATTAATCACAGCCGGGTTAACAGCCAGCCGAGGCTCCCTTGCCTATCTTGTCTTGGCCAGGCGACGAGAAATCGCTCGAGGGGAGCCGAGACTCTCTGGAGCATCTAATTACCGCCGAGGGTAGCTGTCCGACGATATTAATATCGAGTCGGTTCGGCCGCCATCGATACAAACCGTCGCTCTCGACACGGAGGGGAAGAGCAGGAGGTTACAAAGCTGTCGGAGGAAACCCCCCCGGGGAGGAGGGGGGGGAATTAATGGCCTCTCCTCCGTCTTTAATACGGCGAAGTCATTCCTGTGGCTGTTGAGGTGGAGTTGCTTCTGATTTACAACAACGGGGAATGAGAGGGGAGTTGGCCCCGGTGACTCCTATTAAGGAGTTATGTCGTGTTGCCGCGCCTGCCGCATGAAAGGAGCAGCGCCCGCTCGTGACTCTCGCACTTCGGCCAGGCCTTGGGAAATTTGAAGCCTGACCCCCTTTCTTAGGGATCGTGTTGCTAACTACATATTTACTTTCAACCCCCCCCCAACAGTACTTCTGGAAGGAGGGGGGTTTCTAGCGCACTCTGGCCCTAATAACCCTGGGTGTTGTGGGCTGCCAGCGGCCTGCACGGATCATGGCTGATCCCGACGACGAGGAGGCTGGTGTGGGGTCACGCCAGCAGCCTGCGCAGCCGGCGCTCGTGTCGGACAGCGAGGAGGCCGAAGAGGATGTGGTGCCAGAGACAGAGACTCAGCCAGGGCCTTCACAACCTCCAGAGGCTCCTTCAAGTGGAGAGAGCGAAGTGGAGGAGCCTCTCCTCAATGCTCGAGCACGCAAGGGCTGCCAAAAGGCAGGAGTGGCTACTCAGGAGGAGGAGGTCTCCTCGAGAGTAAGGCTTGAGGATAATTGGCCACTCCCTTAGCCTATTTAAGTCGCACGCCGTTAGTAATTTCTTGCTGGAAACAACGTGTAATTATTACAGAGCATTTTGGAGAGTGAGTGTCTTTATCGTATCTTGTTTTCTGGGCTGGTTGCCAACCTTTGCCGGACTTTGTTTATTCTTGGTACGTTATAACTTTGATAAGGACCGTTGGTGTGTGTCACAATCCTTGGGAATCCGGAGCAGGGAGACATAGGGGAAGGAGCTTGGGGACTCCTTCAAGTCCTACAGAGGAGCGTTGAGAGTAAAAAACACACAGTGAAAAAGCGGAAATAGGAATTGAACTTGTCTGGATTAGGCTGACAATACGGGGTTGGAGTAGAAGAGAATGCTCAGGATTGAATGGTGGGGTTTTTGGCTCTCTCGAGCTGGGTTGTTTCCTTGCATGGCCCAATTCGGGAACGTCATGGGTGGTAGAAGGATTTGTGGCGTGGAGGAAGAGGAGAACTATGGGGTCCTTGGTGCTGTCTGAAATTGGTGGCTTTCTTGCAGACGTTTCGTGACCCAACTAGGGAACATCATCAGTCCTCGAAGGGAGTGGGGCGGAGAGGAAGAGGAGGAGGACTGCGGGGTCCTTGGTGCTCTCTGAGCTTGGTGGTTTTTCTCGCAGACGTCTCATGGCCCAACTAGGGAACAGCATCAGTGTTAGAAGGGAGTGGTGTTTGTGGAGAAGAGGAGGAGGAGGAGGAGAAAAAGGACTCTGGGGGTCCCTTGGTGCTTTCTGAGCTTGGTGGTTTTTCTCGCAGACGTTTCATGGCCCAACTAGGGAACATCATCAATGCTATGAGGGATTGGGGTTTGTGAGGAGGAAGAGAAGGAGAACTGTGGGGTCCTTGCAGACATTTCATGACCTGTCTAAGGAATGTCATCAGTGCCAGAAGGGAGGAGGAGGAGGAGGAGGAGAATGGCTGTGGGGTCCCTGATGCTCTCTGAACTTGGTGGTTCGGCACGAAGGCACATCATCAGTGCTAGAAGGGAGTGGGGTTAATCAGCACTGATGATGTTCCCTTGTTGGGTCACGAAACGTCTGTAGGAAACCCCCAAACTCAAGAGACCACCAAGGACCCCCCCTCAGCAGAAGTTTCGACGTTTCCTTGCTGATTTTCCCTGCCTGGCCCTTTCCGCCCTATGGTGTGTCTTGCCGGCGGAGACTGCAGCCGGACGGTTGGCGGTACGGCTCAAAGAGAGGGCGCCGCTCTCGTCCTTCGCCATTGAGCTCGGAAGTGGCGCTGAAGCGGTCTCAAAGCAGACGAGGGAATTCTTTCTCCTTCTGTCGTCTTCTTCTTCTTCTTTTTTTTCTTTTTTCTTTTGACGCCTGGGGATCCTCTCCCCCTGTTTTGTATTCCAGACGACGAAGAGGAGGATTTGTGCAGCTTAGAGAGTCCCCTCGTCGTCAAGAAGAAGAAACGAGGGCCCAGAAAGCAGAAGGAGAACAAGCCGGGGAAACCCAGGAAGCGCAAAAAATTAGTAAGTCGCCCCAACCGAGCCTTTGCTCGTTCGTCGAGGCGGGACCCGTCTCTCGTATCGTTGGGGCTCGCCCGCTTTCGCGAGAAATCAGTTGCGTAAAGTCCCAATTCGCCAACAGAATTAGCTGCGTCCTTTCTTGACCTTAGAGGTCGAGGAGAACCAGTTTAGGGGAGGAATTGTGGGGGGGGAAATGGAAGCTTGGCTTGGCCCCCGTGGCAGGATTTCTGGCCTGTCTTTTCACCCTCACGGGGAGTTGGACCTCATGTAGTGCTACCGATGCTTCAATTGGTTTAAAAATAGTGTCGGCCTAGATTTGAACCCTTGCCGCCTCTCTTGTGGGAGCTGCATCAGCCAGGCTCCCATTCAAGATACGTAGAGCCTGGGATCGCCCTGAGTCCTTCGGGAGAAGGGCGGTATAAAAATTAGATTAAATAAATAAATAAATATTGGAAGGACCCCCTTTTCCCAGTGACATGTGGCCCGGGGATGTTAGGGGGTCCCCTCTCTTGAGGAGGTCCATCTGGTGGGAAGCCAGAAGAAGGGCCTTCTCTGTTGTGGCTCCTTCCCTGTTATTTGAAGGACCCCCTTTTTTCTATGTGACCCACCAGAACAGGGAGGCAGGGGATGTTAGGGGGTCCCCTCTCTTGAGGAGGTCCATCTGATGGGACCCAGGAGGAGGAACGTTTCCGTGGTGGGCTCTCCCTCCCTGCAGAGATAAGATTGTCCCCCACCCCCACTTCAATGCTCTCTTCTTCCAGGCCTGGGGACCCCAGAATTATACCATCAAGAAGTGGTTGGTACGATTGTCGTTTGCCAGGAAGATTTCTTAGTTTTTGTACCGGGGTTTTAATATTTGCAAGCCTCCTCCTGGAGTCACCAAGAGTGAGTTGGGCTGCTATATAAACGTTCTTGATAAATAATAAATAATGTTGCTCTTGCGAAAGGTTTTGGCTGGGTCAGATTCGTGGCGAAGGGATGAAACAACAAAAAAAAAAGAGCTCGCACGTTCACTTCGAATGACACCACGGGGCCCGAAGTAAAATCTGTTCTTATGTTCTTTCGCGCTTAGAACTCTGCATTGTGCTGTTTTTATTAAGGTGCATTTAAAAAAAATTTTTTTTTTTTTCATTATAATACATCTTTCTGAATTGTGAGCTACCCAGAGTCGGCGGCTATAGAAATCAATCGAACAAATAAATAATGAACTTTGTAAAACAGGAACAGGGAAAGATGGGCCCTTTATAAAGGTATATAAATTGGAAATTAAATTAAATTAAATTAAATTTACGACCTGTGGACTTCGATTCCCAGAATTCCCCAAGCACGGCTGACTCGGGAATTCTGGGAGTCGAAGTCCACAGCTTGTAACAGGCCCGTCTTTCCCCACCCCTGGCGTAGAGTGATGGAAACCCTTCGGCGTTTCTTACTTTCAGCCAAAACCCCCAGGAACTCCTCTTTGCCACATAGAAGCTTTTCTGCATCTCTCTTTCATTTGTTTGCCAAGTCGTTATGTCACAATGAAACGAGGGGGGGGGTGACTATAGTCCTGGCACGGGGGGTGAGGGGCTTCAACCGTGCTCAGCAGGGACGCTCATCCTTAATTAATGCTAACGATCTCATTTGCTTTGGGGCTCTGGGTTTTTTTTTTTTTTTTTTTGCCTCTTGGCAGGTCAGCGAGGATGAGTTTGAGTCCGACCGAGAAGAGTATCGGGCCAAGTCGGAGAGCGGGGGCAGCGACTATGGAGGCGTGGGGAAGAAGAAGCGGCGCAAACACCGGGAGAAGAAAGAGAAGAAGACCAAGCGGCGGAAAAAGTCGGAAGAAGACGGAATGCAAAAGCCAAAGGTAAGAAGGTCTCCGCCCTAGCCTCCTCCTCCTCCTTCGTGGCTGATAGACGGGAGATGGTGCCCGATGGTGAAAGGTCCAGCTCTCAACGGCTTTATTGTGTGCTGCTTGTAGTACGAGTGTCATGAGTGTCTCCTCCCAGACCGCCTTCCCCTGGGAACAGACAGATAGGATTTCAGGAGGCTTAGGCGTGGAGGGGGGTGTCGGTCAGGCTAATGCCTCTGGCCACTATGCAAGGATTCAAGGCTAGTTCCCCACTTGACTCCTCCTTGCCTTGCCTTGCCGGGCATTTCCCAACATGGACAAGAGGCATTAGCTTCAGGCTGAAGGGGGAGTTGACAGGACTCCCCCACTGCTGATCCCCGACTTTTCTCCTCTGCTGCAGAATAAAAGTCCGAAGCCCTTTCTCTCTCTCTCTCTCTCTCTCTTTCTTTCTCTTTCTTTCTTTCTCTTCTTCCTATCTTCTCTTTCTTCTTTCTTCTTCTCTCTCTCTCTCTCTTCATCCTTCTGTCTTCTTCTTCTTCCTTCCTTCTTTCTTCTTTCTTCTCTCTTCTTCTCCTTCTCCTTCCTTCTATTTGTCTTTCTCTCCTTCTTCCTTCTTCCCTTTCCTTCTTTCTTTCCTTCCTTCTTCTTCCTTCCTTCCTTCTCCTTCCTTCCTTCCTTCCTTCCATCTCTTCCTTCTTCTTCTTCCTTCTTTCCTTATTTCTTCTTTCTTTCCTTCCTTTCCTCTTCCTTCCCTCCCTCCCTCTCCCTCTTCCTCCTTCTTTCTTTCTTTCTTCTTTCTTTCTTCTATCTATCTTTCTATCTATCTTCTCTATCTATCTATCTTCTATTCTTTCCTTTCTTTCCTTTCATCTTTCTTTCTTTTTCTTCTTTCTTTCTTTTTCTTTCTTCTCTTTCCTCTTCTTCTCTTTCTTCATTTTTCTTTCCTTTCTTCTTTTCTTCTTCTTTCTATTCTTCTTCTTTCTTTCTTTCTTTCTTCCTTTCTCTTCTATCTATCTATCTATCTATCTATCTATCTATCTATCTTTCTACTTTTCTTTCCTTCCTTCCTTCCATCTTTCTTCCTTTTTCTTTCTTTCTTTCAATCTATCAATCTATCTATCTTTCTTTCTACTTTTCTTTCCTTCCTTCCATCTTTCTTTCTTCCTTCCTTCCTTCCTTCCTTCCTTCCTTCCTTCCTTCCTTCCTTCCCTCCCTCCCTCCCTCCCTCCCTCCTTCCTTCCTTCCTTCCTTCCTTCCTTCCTTCCTTCCTTCCTTCCTTCCTTCTTTCCTTTCTTTTTAAATTTGATTTATATGCCGCCATTCTCCGGAGACTCAGGACGGCTTACAATGCGTTAAGCAATAGCCTTCATACTTTTGTATATTTTTATACAAAGTCAGCTTATTGCCCCCACAATCTGGGTCCTCATTTTACCTACCTTAGAAAGGATGGAAGGCTGAGTCAACCTTGAGCCTTGGAGAGATTCGAACCAGCAGTAAATTGCAGGCAGCTGTGTTAATAACAGTGCTTTAGTCTGCTGTGCCACCAGGACTCTTTTTTTTATTCTTTCTTTCCTATCTTTCTGTCTCCTTCCTTCCTTCCTTCCTTCCTTCCTTCCTTCCTTCCTTCCTTCCTTCCTTCCTTCCTTCCTATCTTTCTGTCTCCTCCCTTCCTTCTTCCTTCCTTCCCTCTCCCCCTCTCTCCCCTTTGCTCTTGGGGGGGATACCCTGAGCATTTCTGTCCTCTTCCTTCGAAGGTGGAGCAGAAGTCCTCAGCCCAGCTGCTCATGACTTGGGGCCTGGAAGACGTCGATCATGTTTTCACCGAGGAAGACTACCACACCTTGACAAACTACAAAGCCTTCAGCCAGTTTATGAGGTGGGTTCTTGGATATCAGCCGGGATGGGCTGGGTGGGCGAGCGAGCAAGCGAGCGAGCGAAACACGACCCAGCAGGCTTTAAAATTGACTCCCACCCCCACCCCCCCCGGAATAAAACTCCATTCTAGGTCACGCTTGGAAATAACAGGTAGTCCTTTGCCACCATTCATTTAGTGGCTGCTGGCAGTTACAAAGACACTTTGAAGTTAACAAAGCCACTGAAAAAAGCGACTTATGACCGTTTTTCACACTTAATGACCGTGGCAGGCTCCCTGTAGTCTCAAGAAAAAAAGTAATGATAAAATTGTGCTTTTATAAGGATCGTCAGGTAAAAAAACGTATGTATCCACCCACGCTCACACCTACCTCTAACAACACCAGGTCCCACCAAACGATATTTCCTGTTAGATGAGACACAGCCTATTTGTGTAGGGGGACCCATCTGTCTATCTGTCCGTCCATTATCTATCTGTCTGTCTGTCTGTCTGTCTATCTATCTATCTATCTCCTCTGTGTCCATCCATCCATCCATCATCTATCAACTACCTATCATTGTCTATCATCTACCATTATTTTTGTATCTATCTATCTCTATCTATCTATCTCTACCCATCCATCTATCTATCCATCCGTCTGTCTATCCATCCATCTATCTATCTATCTATCTATCTATCTATCTATCTATCTATCCTATCTCATCTGTGTCCATCCATCCATCCATCCATCATCTATCAACTACCTATCATTGTCTATCCTCTACCATTATTTTTGTATCTATCTATCTCTATCTATCTATCTATCTATCTATATCTATCTATCTCTACCCATCCATCTATCTATCCATCCGTCTGTCTGTCTATCTATCTATCTATCTATCTATCTATCTATCTATCTATCTCATCTGTGACCATCCATTGTCCATCATCTATCAACTACCTATCATTGTCTATCTTCTACCATTATTTTTTTTGTATCTATCTATCTATCTATCTATCTATCTCATCTGTGACCATCCATTTGTCCATCATCTATCAACTACCTATCATTGTCTATCTTCTACCATTATTTTTGTATCTATCTATCTATCTATCTATCTATCTATCTATCTATCTATCTATCATCTGTGTCTGTCTGTCTGTCCATCCATCCATCCATTATCTATATCCATCTATCTATCTATCTATCTATCTATCTCTACCCATCCATCTATTTATCCATCCATCCGTCTGTCTATCTATCCATCTATCTATCTATCTATCTATCTATCTATCTATCTATCTATCTATCATCTGTGTCTGTCTGTCTGTCCATCCATCCATCCATTATCTATATCCATCTATCTATCTATCTATCTATCTATCTATCTATCTCTACCCATCCATCTATTTATCCACCCATCCATCCGTCTGTCTGTCTATCTATCTATCTATCTATCTATCTATCTATCTATCTATCTATCTATCTATCATCTCTATCCATCCATCCATCCATCCATCCATTTACCTGCCTGCCTACCTTTCATATTGTCATTTTCTTCTGTGGAGTTTTAATCCGATGAGTCCTTGAGACGGGCAGCCAGATAAACGAAGGCGAATCGATAAAGATTTGTGGAGGTCCCAGAACATGTCTCCCGGCCCACTGAGCCCGCAATGCACAATTCTCTGTGAAAAAGGTGATGCTCAAAGAAACCCCAGGTTCTCTTTTCTCCCCCCACCCCTAGCCCTACCCCTACCCCCCCCACCCCTTTCTAATATGATCCTACTCGGGGGGGCGGCGACTTAAGAACCCAACAAGCATTTTGAGAGGAGAGGGTTCCTTCTGCCGAGATCTTGTCGTCTTCTCTCTCGGGAGACATCTGCCGGAGTTAGTCAGCACGTTTGCCGGGATTGAAATTCCCCGTCTCGTGCCAAGGGAGCTTCTCATCCCTGCCTCTGCCTCCCGGAGCGGCAAAAGACCGCCGGGAGGGGTGATTGGTGGTGGCGAGGCGAGACGAGACATCTCTCCTGGAGAACAGGAAGGATATTTCCGCTCTCTCCTAAGCCGCTGTGGCCTCGTTAGATGCAAATCCTCCAACCTCCCGGCGCTTCTCTCCCTCCGCGTGTCCCGAGACTTTCTCCTGGCTGCCAGCCTGCAGTTCTAGCCAGGCGAGGCTGAGCTCATGTCAGCGAGGGAAGCCGCCAGTGGCCTTGGCAGCCCCTGTGATCTCTCTCCGGCTTCAGCTTGGCGGGCACAGACGCGCTCGGCTGCCAACCGACGCTCTGTGACCGACGGCAGGAATCTGGCACCGGGAATGAATCGCCAGGCCACCTGGGCCTCGATGGGTTTTTTTTTTTTAATAAAGGCAGTGATTTATGCCAGGTTGCCCCAGGGGGGGACGGGGGACAGGCCTGCTGAAGTGGGATGGAAAGGATTTGTGTGTGGGGGGGAAGGGGGAGCCTGACTCTAATTAGCTCTAAATTGTTGGGCACTTGCCTGGGCGGGAGGCAGGGAGGCAAATCCGTCTGCCCGCCTTCCCTGCGGCTGCCTGCCGTGGCTGGAATTGGCCGAAAGCTCCCTTGATGGAGAGGGAATTCCCTGGGAAAGCCCTGTGGAGCCCTTTGATGTCTGCTTTTTGGCTCTTGGAGGGGGGGGGCTTCCGAGGTCTCTCGGCCGGGCTTTGGGGGAGGAGCTGAGCTCCTAAAAATACCTTAACAAGGCTCTGGGGGAGAGCTGTCTGCTAGCTCCCATGCCCTGGGCTGCGGGGGGTGGGGGTGGGGGTGGGGGATGGGGAAGCCAGGTGGCACCGTCTCTTGAGAGAGAGAGAGAAAGAGCAAGGGTTTTTGTTGTCCCTCCTAGCAACCCTGGAATCCGGGGGGGTGGGGGGAGGAATAAAATAGGTCTTGAACCTTGGGGGTTCTTTGAAGTTTGGAGAACGGCACCAAGTCATTGGGTGCAAACCGGGAGGGGGGGGGCTCCTCGTTGTGACCCAGGCCCAAGTAGTTAGTATTAAATACAAACAGTTCGAAAGCAAACAGACTTTATTAGAACGGCTGAGAATTAAACTCATTCTCGGCGTAGTCCAAACTACATGAAAGCAAATTCTTCCAAACGCCATTCCTCAGTTTATCACCGACCTTGGGATAATTAGGCCAAGTGCCAAGGGCTTTTCTCGGCAAAAGAAGCAGAAGCAGAAGACGCGGACAAGAAATGAATACAGTGAAACAAGAAGCAAATCTTCTCAACGGTTGTTTTCCGCCAAAGAGGCCAAGAGCTGTTGCTGGTCTGTTTTAAGCCTTATGGGAGGAGCTAATCATCTCTTGGCCTTCCTCCTGAGTTGTCCTCTTTGCTTTAGCTGCTCCTGCTTTCTGTCGGCTCTTCTCATACGTGCACTAGGAACAGGCTCCTCCTATTCCTCTGCCTCTCTACTGTCAGCCTCTGGAGGCTCCGGAGTCCGCACATCACTCCCTGATGGTCCTGGCTCCATCTCTGCCTCTGACGCAGAGCCCTCATCCGGGCCTCCCCCAGCCTCCAGGACTGGCCCCTGTTCTTCCTCAGCCTCATCGCTGTCCGACTCCGCTGTCCGACTCCGCAGGCTATGAGCAGACCACAACACTTCTAAGGCTTGTGTGAGTCCAGGGTCTCTGAGTAGCCTCTTGCCCCAATACGATCGGGCGAGTTGGAAGGGACCTCGGAGGTCTTCTAGTCCAACCCCCTGCTCAGGCAGGAAACCCTCTCTACCATTTCAGACAAATGAAATCCAGTCTTTTCTTAAAAGCCTCCAGTGATGGAGCAACCCACAACTTCCGGTGGCAAGCTGTTCCACAGGTTAATTGTCCTCACTGTTAGGAAGTTTCTCCTTAATTCCAGGTTGCTTCTCTCCTTGGTTAGTTTCCCTCCGTTGCTTCTTGTCCTGCCTTCGGGTGCTTTGGAGAATAAATTGACCCCCTCTTCTTTGGGGCAACCCCTCAAATATTGGAACGCTGCTATCATGTCCCCCCTAGTCCTTCTTTTCTCTAGACTGGCCAAACCCAAATCCTGCAACCATTCTTTATACATTCTTCAATAGCAGAGTTGGAAGGGACCTTGGAGGTCTTCTAGTCCAACCCCCTGCTTAGGCAGGAAACCCTACACCCCTTCAGACAAACGATTGTCCAGTCTCTTCTTAAAAACCTGACAACGGCACTGGGGGTGGGGAAGGAAGGGTGATTTATGACCGTTTTTCATCCTTACGGCCGTTGAAAACATTCCCCGTGGTCAGAATTCAGATATCTGGCAGCGGGACTCGTACTTACGACAGCCGCAGTATCCCGGGGGCTCCGCGATGATTCCGACAAGCAAAAGTCAAATGAGGAAGCCGGATTCACTGAACGACCGCGTTACTCCTTTAACGACTTGCAGCGATTCGCTTAACAAAGCGAAGGCCAAGAAGGGGGCTAAAATTCACCTTTTAACAAGGGTCTCGCTTAGCCACGGAGATTGGGGGAGGGGCTCGATGGTGGTCGTAAGTCGAGGACTGCCTGTATGACAGGGCTACGTTCCTCCTTCTCGGTGGGGAGGCGGGAAGGAAGCGTAGTTAACAACCTCCAGTCAGTTCATTGATTCTGTCCTCTTTTTGCCTGGGCCCCATTTCATCCCTCTTTCATCTTTCTACGGCTCCCTCATCCCTGCTTTCAGAAGAGTGGGGAGGGGGACCTCAGAGGTCTTCTAGTCCAGCAGCGTCCAAGCTTTGAGGCTTGGTGGCCTAGCTGGGGGTGAGTGTGTGGAGAAAGGGGGACAGGGCCATGCGAGTGGTGGGCCGGTGGATCTGCAGCGTGCGTCCGTGCCAGCTCACCCCGCCCTGTGCGTTACGGTTCCAAATTAGGCCTTGGCCCGGTAGTGGGTCACAGCCCAGGGGTGGGGGGGACCCCTGTTGTAATCCAACCCCCTGCTCAGGCAGGAAGCCCTCTCCCATTTCCGACAAATGGTTGTCCAGTCTCCTCTTGAAAATCTCCAATGACGGAGCAAGTAACAACTTCTAGTG